AAATTAGGAGGGGGGGAGAGAAATTGAAATTAGGAGGGGGGGAGAGATATTAGGAGGGGGGAAAGAGAAATTAGGGGGGGAGAGGAAGAGAAATTGGGAGGAGGAGAAGGAAATTGGAGCGGGAGGAGAGATTGACATTCATCACATACACACAATGCACCCCTTGCACACAGAAAAACACACAATGCATCACACACACAGACACACATACACAAGCAATGCAACCGTTACACACAATGCATCCCTTACACACACAGAAACACACAATGCATTCATTACACACACTCAATGCACCCCTTACACACATTCAATGCACCCCTTACACACATTCAATGCATCCCATACATACAAAGAAACACACCTTGCAGCCCTTACACATACAAACACAATTTCACACAATGCATTCCTTACACACATATCAGGACATCCCCTACACACTCCACCCCCTGTGAACAAACTCATTGGTGGAACATGAAGGTGGACCCTGGAACCCAGACCTTGAGCTGTGTAAAGGACCCCAAAAAAAATGGAGCTGCTTCCCGTTCTCCCAGAACATTGATTTTTGTGACCACAGTTACAAACCGCCTGCAGAGAGACTGTTCTGCACCAGACCAGTGAAGCCAGACCGCAGCTAGAGCCCATCATCATCCTCATCTGGTTGTAAGTAGGCAATCTAGTATATTATTCGTGGCACTAAGCTCTAATTTACCTCACATTAAAGAAACACTATAGTCCCCAGAACCACTTCAGCCTAATGTAGTGGTTCTGGTGTCTATAGCCTGTCCCTGCAGGCCTTTTAATGTAAACACGGCGGCACTGCAGCACTGGCGTTAGTTAACATGGCAAATCATATGGGTGGTTGCATTGTGATGTCACATGGGGAGGAGGGGGGCAAACTTTACTTTTGCCTAGGGCGGCAAAAATCCTTGCACCGGCCCTGGCTGGAGGGGGCTGTGGCAGTACAGCTCACACAAGCAAACAGCTGATAAACTGGCCGCACGGAGGAAATGTGTATGTGTGACTGTCTGCCTGTGACTGTATGTGACTGTCTGCCTGTAACAAATTGTAAAAAAAAAAAAGAGAACCTTTACATTTTTTTATGTTTTTGGGAGAGGGGGGTGCTACAGGATCCCGGGTGCCAAATGCTCTAGGTACGCCCCTGTTGGAGCTCCCTCTGCTGGAATAAAATGTAACTATTTTGCAACTGCTAAATGGTAAGCCACAATATTAAAACTACCTGCCTAATATGGTGTAGAATGTAAGTCACTCTTCTGCAGACAAAACAGCTCTAATGCATCAAGGCATGGACACCACTAAACCTCTGAACATGTCTGTGGTATCTGGCACCAAGACATTAGGAGCAGATCCTTTAAGTCCTGTAAGTTGCAAGGTGGGGCCTACATGGATCAGATTTGTTATTCCAGTACATTCCACAAATGCTCGATCGGATTGCCATCTAGGGAATTTGTAGGCCAAGGCAGCACCTTGAACTCTTTGTCATGTTCCTCAAACCATTCGTGAACAATTTTTTCAGGTTGGCAAGATGCATTATCCTGCTGAAAGAAAGCAATGCCATCAGAGAACATAATTGCCATGATCGGGTGTATGTGGTCTGCAACAATTTTTGATTAGATTGTACATGTCTAAGTAACATCCACATAAATGTCAGGACCTAAGGTTTCTCAGCAGAATATTGTCCACAGCATAGCACTGCCTCTGTCGGCATGCCTTTTTCCCATAGTGCATCCTGCTGTCATCTCTTTTTCAGGTAGACGACGCACACACACCCAGCCATCCACCTGATCTAAAATAAAATGTGATTCATCACACTAGGTAACCTTCTTCCATTGCTCCATGGTCCAGTTCTGATGCTCATGTTCCTATTAAAAGTGCTTTCTGCGGTGGACAGGGGTACATTAAATTATGGGACAAAATGCTGTCAATATACACAGATGCAGTTCTGCAAAATCCTTCATGAGAATTAATGGGTGGCAGGGTATTGGTGTGGATACTAGTGTATGGTAAAGGAGGTATGTGAAACATATGGGAAGTAACGAATATCATGACCTATTTACAACCGTTTGCAATTTCCAGAGGGCATTTAAGGGTACTTTGGAATTTAAGATATAATAGACATGAATCATACTCTATAGTTTTGTGTCGCCACCATTAATTAGTACGTTAATTATTATCATTACTTATTTAGTTAGACTGTTCTTCAAACATCTTCACATGCTCTAATAAACAGTTAATATGTTCATGTACAGAAGCAATATCACTAAAATCCGAGATATTCAGACATGGACTGGGAGTACCCTAACAGACTATATTAAATTACTAAATATGTAATTTTTATGGATGATTGTTCATGTAAAATGATTTTATTGTTTAATTTCTTTCTGTTATTTCCCCCCATTTTATTTTTATCATTCATTAATTTTTTGAATTTTTTTTTCATTATATTATTAATAATTTTATAAACTCATTTTTACTAATCTTATGTATTATCAATATGTTTATTATTATTATATTGTATGTATATATATTTGAAAAACTCAATAATTTGAAAGAGTAGCCCAATAGGTTGGGTGCATGCAGGGCTGGCGCTATCATAAGGCGGCACAGGCAGCCACCTTAGAGCACACCAGCCCGGGGGGGCGTAGGACTGGGGCTATTGGCAGGAGGAGAGACCAGCGCAGTGTTCCCCTCCTGACGGTCTCTGTATGTAGCGTGGTCGAGCGCTGACTGCAGGAGAGAAACTTGTTTCCCTCTTCCTGAACACAATCTTTGAGCCCCCCCATGCACCATAACCCCCTCAGCCCCCATCCACCCTACCCCTCTGGTTGTAAGGCTAGCTTAACACATATAAAGACTATATTATTTGTTGATAAAGTGCATTACAATTGTTATGAATAAACACTTGCAATAGAAAAAAAAAACTGGTTATGAATTTAAAGAGACACTGAAGGCACCCAGACCACTTCAGCTCTTTAACCCCTTAAGGACTGGACTGTTTTTGTGATGTTGTACATTTGCGACCAGGCATATTTTTACACTTTTGTGGTGTTTGTGTTTGGCTGTAATTTTCCGCTCTCTCATTTACTGTTCCCATACAAATTATATATTGTTTTTTTCAGGACAAAAGGGGCTTTCTTTACAT